AGCTAGCTAGAAACAAGCCTAAGCTAAAACAGAGCATTCATAATTAATAATAAGTCTGTGTGTCATGATTTGGCAGCTGGTGGTCCAAGAAAGATAGCTACATGTTTGTTTTTGATTTTTTTTTTTGAGACAGGGTTTCTTTGTGTAGCCTTGGCTGTCTAGGAATTCTCTTTGTAGAAGAGGCAGGCCTTGAACTCACAGAGATCCGCTTGCCTCTGCCTCCCGAGTGCTGGAACTAAAGGCGTGCGCCACCACCGCCCTCTGAATAGCAGAAGTTTTAATATCTCCATTAACCTTACAGTAGCCATCCTCGTGCAGCTGAAAAGGAGCCTCGGTGGCTCTTAGTAAATGGTCAGGGACAAGTGTCACCACTGCAGCCCTGGCTGAGACTACAAGCCAGAGAGGGGTCATGTGCACACAGTTGGCATCTGTCCCCCAGACAGCATCCTCATTCTGGGATGTCACCAGCATTCTGTGGTTAGTGAGATGCAGCTATTTTATGTCAAGCAGCCCAGATCCCTAAATGACAGTCAGGCTGCTGACAGGCCACAGCTGCTCTCTAAGGAGCTCCCAACGATGTCCCCTGGGGTGAGAACAGTCAATTCTGTTAAGAGAGACACATGGGGATCTTATCAAGGGGAATGCCTGAGCCTGCTGCCCTTCTGGAAAATCACAGAGCTTATTTAACTGAAAAAAATCAATTTCCTCTGATCCCCAAAGCCCTTCAGAGTGAGCAACAGGGAAGGGCTAGGAAGAAACTGGCTGGATGGAGAGGGTGCCATCATTTGCTGGTGAGACCCCGTATTGAGCACATTTTATTTGATTCTCACAGGAATCCTATCAGGCAGATACCCTACCCACCTGCTGAGGCAGAGATGGGTAAACTGAGACTCAGAGAGATGAAATCACGTGCTTACGATGGGACCCAAGGCCTCAGATAACTATCTACTCCATCCTGGTCCCGTGTGTGACCTTAGATGTGACCCTTTCCTTTTCTGGGCCTCAGCTTCTTCTCTCCCAACATGGGAGTGGAAAGGCTGGCAGCTTTTAAGGAGCTCCCAGGCCTCACTGAAGGGCCGTGGGTATAATGCTAGCACCAGGGGTCAGAGGAAAATCACTAGGTCCCCTTAGGTCCCCAAGCAGGGGGAGCAGGAGGGTAGACAGAAGGAGGGAAGCTGGAAGGAACGCCTTGGGGAGTTCTGTTTTTGGTGTCTGCTCAGCTGACGACTTTTCAACCTGAGAAACACACATACACAAACCCTAACCTCCTCCGGCTTAAAATAGAGCTGCTGAACCAAAAATGCCAAGCACAGGGCAGAGTCACCTGCCTGGCAGGGCCAGACAGTGCCTCCACGGCCCCAATTATACCCACCCCAGTGGGTACCTCTGACAAGGCACCCTCAGCTCTGTGACACCGGAGTCTCACAGTGGTGGGGCAGCTCCATCTACCAAAGCTCTCACAGCCACCACACAGGCGAAGAAAGCAAGGTCCCCAGTGATGTGGCTGACAGGGCCTTGCCGAACAAGAGTGGTGCCCTTGGGACTCAGGCAGCTACATGTTCAAGTCCTGTCTCAGCCATGACCCCAGGGACTCGGCAGGTTGGCACCTTCTCTTTCCTGGCCTGTAGAGGCGACAGAGTGGCAATGCTGAGCACACACAGGACTCCAGAGTCTCTAGTCTCTCCTCTGTTTCTGAAAACTGAATTCCTGGCATCTGTGGATAGGCAGTTTTGAAGGGGGAGGAAACAAGACTACCAGCTCAGGGGCACCTGGGAAGCGGAACACCACAGTGTCTGTCATGGTCCTTTGTGGGAAGCATTGGTATCTCCGTCCTCACAGGGGGAGACTGAAGTATAGAGAGGTAGAGATGTCCTACCTGTGGACGTGCGAGTAGAAAGTAGAGCAGTGGGAATTTGAACTCAAGTCTTTGTGGACCCCAGCTGTGCTCAGGAGCATCCTTGTGAACTGCCCCCACCTCATGACGAAGCTGCTCCCCAAGCCTGCTCTTCTCCAGCTCTTCTTGAGTGGAAGGGCCTGGTGCCCTGCCCCCACCCCGAGGATTCTGCCCAGGTTTCTGCTTCTCTAATGCAGAGAAGAATCAGAAAAACAAACTTGCTGATGCCCTTACTAAAAATAAAGTCGCGGCAACTGTGTTAGCTCTCCCGTGTCAGCAACCCGCTTCTGGGCCACTTGGCTGCCATCCTGACTCTCTGGGGGTTGAGGGCGTGCAAATCTTTTTCTATAGGCACTGAGACCCAATTCCACCCCAGAACTGAGGTCTTTCGGGCCAGGGTCTACTGAGTGTGATAGCGACAGTGGCTAAATGCCCCTAGGCAAATCCCGTTGGCAAGCAGGTGCTGCTCCCCAGCATTCTCCATTCAGCCTATGGCAGCTGTCAATCATCACAAACATGGAGACTTACCCCCACATCCAAAAATTTCCTTCTGGGGCTGAGAACAGAGAGAGTTCGTATAGTAAAGTGCTTGCTTCACAACTATGAGAACCTGAGTTCAATCCCCAGCACCCATTTTTTAAGTCAGGTGTGGTGGCATAAGCTTGTAACGCCAGCTGAGGAGGTCAAGTCAAGAGGATCTCTCGGGCAGGCTGGCTAGCCAGTTGCCGGAACTGGAGAGCCCCAAATCCTAAGGAGTGACCTTGTTCCAAGAAAGTAACAAGGTGGGTAGCTGCTGAGGAGTACCACTCAGAGTTGATGTCTGGGCTCCACACATGTGCACACACGTGTGTACCTGCACATCCACCCCCACCCCCCAAAAGAACTTTCTGGTTCTTTCAACATGGGCCTTCATGGGCTAGAATAAAGCTGCCTGTGTGTCCACATTTCTTTTTTTCTTTAGACTAAGCAGCAGGGATCCGTCCTCTTCCAACTTCTAGCTCCTGGATGTCACCCACCGTGCCTCATCTTGGGGGCCCCTCCTCCAGTGATCAGGTTGAAGAATTGCTTATGCTGCCTTCTCTCTGGCTGTCTCTCCTGCCTTTATCTCCAAGTACAGGGTCTTCTGTGGTGATGTTGGGCCCACCCAGAGATTTGAGATCATTCCCCATGTAGAGGCAAGCTGCTCAGCACCCAATGGTATCAGCATCCTCAGTTTCTCTTTGCCAGGCAGCCAGATATATTCGCAGACCCCAAGAATGAGGATGCTTTCACAGATCCAAAGGATGAGGCATGGGTATCCTTGGGGGCTGTTCTATGAACTACCGCAGTTCCTATGAGATGGAAAAAAAATTAAAAACAAAAACTGTATTCTAAGCTAGGTGGTGGTGGTCCATGCCTTTAATCCCAGCACTTGGGAGGCAGAGGCAAGCGGATCGCTGTGGGTTTGATACCAGATGCCTGGTCTACAAAACGAGTTCCAGGACATCCAGAGCTGTTACACAGAGAAACCTTGTCTTGAAAAACAAAAAATGAACAAGCAAACAAACCCATCGTTCTATGGATGGTGAAACTGAGCCAACCCAAGCTCAGGAGGAAGCAGTGAAGGTGAGCTGCTCTTAACTTGCACATGGAAGTTCTTATTTGACCTCACATTGCCACTAGGTGTGTGCTGCAAGGCAGGTCTGAGTGCTGGAGACCAGAGGATGATCCTGGGGTGTGGGATGCAAGGGTTATACTGCACTGGGAGGGATGGAAGATGGCAGGCACTCAGGCCTTTGGGGGCTCAGAGGAGACCACCTGAGGTGTCAGGAAACATGTCCAATGGTACGGAGTGGCAGGGTGGCCAGGCTGTGAGCCAGCCGAGTTGGGGGGATTAAGCACATCAGTGTCTGTGTGGCACTTCTTGCTGCTACCTGGTCCCTGGCAGGGATGCAACAGATGTCGGCCGGCCGAGAGGGCTGGAGAGAAGGCTGTAATGAGTCAAGGGAGAGTTCATGCAAGAACTGAAAGTTGAGGGTGGCTGGGGGAAGCAAGGAGAGAGGTTTGGGGGAGGGTGCTCTCACTCTCTGCCACCTTTTCTTCCACATGGCAGTCCCTTGCTTTTTCTGAGGTGTGGTGGTGAGACATGATGCCAAGTAGCCCAGCCCGGACTCGAACTCCTGATCTACCTGCCTCCACCGCCCCCCCCAAGTGCTGAGTATGGACTGTCATGCCTGCCTCTGATGCCCTTTTGAAAAACAAAAAGTAAACAAACAGATGATGGTGAAATTGTGTGTATTTCTGCCTACGGCTTTTCCATGCTTTCCAGTTGTCCTGCAGATTCACCCTGGGATCTGGAAATGCGGTTCAGTGTTTAAGAGCACTGGCTGCTCTTCCAGAGGACCGAGGGTTCGATTCCCAGCCCCCACATGGTGACTCACAACTGGAGACTGTAACTCCAGTTCCAGGAGAACCTACGCCCTCTTCTGGCCTCCATGGACCCTGTGCAAATGGTACGCAGGAGTATATGTGTATATGTGTAGGCAAATATAAAATAAAAATTAAATTAAAAATGGATTTATAGAAGTCATTTCTTTCTGTTCCTCCTGTCTCTTCAGCCTGCATCCCAGTTCTCTAGACTCAGCTTCACTGCTGCTCCCTGTTGTCTCCTGTCACCAAATCACCTCCCTTTTGATTGTGGCCTGGATTTTGTCTCCCTGGTCACTCCTGGATGGCTTGGCACGCGCCTCTCCGAGCGCTATTTTTCTCCTCTATTACACATGTCTTACCTTATCTTTTTGTTCATTTATCATCCCTCCCTGCTTGCTGATATACCCGTTCTACTCCCACCGAGAATGGTGGGCACCAGAGGGCGCTTAGTAAACATTTCCTAGATGATAGACGGGAGGAAGAAAAGGGTGACTAGCCCCAAGTCTTAGGGCGAGCTCGGGATGGAGGCGGGCCCTCTGCACACCTGAGCCGGGCCTCTGCACCAGATGTCCCCGCGGGGACCTGCGTGAGCAAGGGCGGGGAAGCGGCGGAAGAGCTCAGAGCCGGCCCTCTGCTGTATGCCAGGCGCAGACGGATGGAGCTGGCACCGTCGGGGCGCACAGAAACCGGGACTCAGAGAAGGCGAGACGCGATGAGGAAGCAGAGTGCGCGCACGGCCGCGCTCGTCCTGTGCATTCTGTCCTACTTGCTGGTGGGCGCCGCGGTCTTCGATGCGCTGGAGTCCGAGGCCGAGCGCAACCGGCAGCGGCTGCTGGCACGGAAGCGCAGCGAGTTCCGCAGAAAGTACGGCTTTTCCGCCGACGACTACCGCGAGCTGGAGCGCTTAGCGCGGCAGGCAGAGCCGCACCGCGCCGGCCGCCAGTGGCGTTTCGCAGGTTCCTTCTACTTCGCCATCACGGTCATCACCACTATCGGTGAGCCCTCGGAGCCTCCCCTCTGTCCCGCTCAGTCCCGATCTCTCCTCGGGTGCGGTCCCACCCCGGTCCCTGCCTTTGGAAGGAGCATGTTAGTTAGCTCTCCGAGGCTCATGTGCCTCACTGGGCGAAATGGGGGTAGTCAGTAATGGTTTGCCACGAGGCTGTCACAGGGGTGCTTAGAACAAACCCCAGGGTCTTGGGGAACAGAAGTGGGGCTTCTTTGTCCCACTCTGTCAGCTGTGAAACCTTAGATAAGTTTCTTGACTTCTCTGAGCCACTGTGTTCTTAGAAAACTAAGAGTCCTAATATGTTTTGCAGGGGGAAGAGAAGAACGCCAGCTGTAGTTGAGATTAATATGTGTGCGTGCAGATCGTTTTAGCATAGAGCCTGATCCACAGAAAGCACAGTGGAAATAAGATTGTCTTTTAATCATAATAACGATTATTCTGTTGGCCCCATATAACAGAGCTGTCATTCGTCTTGGGACTGCTGTGTGGCTAGTGGCCTACCCAGAGCCTAATAGGAGTCCCATCATTTGATTACCAAAGCTTTGCCTCACATTGGGGCATCCAGAGGAACCCCTATGTATACCATCTGAATTCCAGCTGTGACCATAACTGCAGTTGTTCAGGACCTGGGGGCTAAGCCTGGGGAGCCTGCCTTCAGACCTGTGTTAGCTAGCCACTAGGTACCAGGCTCCAACTGTAGTTGCCAGATGTCCCGGTGGCCTCAGAGGAGCAAACCGGAAACCAACATCTGGGAGAATGTGCTTGCACAGGAGCCAAGGGTTTAAAAGCACACCTGCAACCCTAAAAGCTGAATTTTGGGCACCTCCAGCCTCCTGCCTTCTCAGGCAAGCTACCGTGCCCCCTCAGAGACACCTGTTTTTGTCAAAGGCAAAAGCAAATGTTCTACCTCGCTGGGTGAATACCAGGTTTAAAGTGAGGTCAGATGTGTGAGCCGCCCAGCACGGTGCTATAGGCTATGTGGGCACTATTCGTTAGGAATAATTTATCAGTTGCCAGCTGTAAACCCAGCTCCCAGCAATGCTTCTGCCATCTCTTGTCTACAAGCCCCATTCTCAAGACCGTGCCTACAGAGGTTGTGTCTCTTCTGAAGCCTCTGCCCCTTCCCGTTTTCGCTGAAGGTCTGTCTACCAGCCAGATTTGGCCTCTTCCTGTGCTAATGCTAATCTGAAACCAAGTTTGGGAAAGAAACCAGGGATTGGGGGGCGGGGGATCACTGCTACCAAAACAATGGCATAGAAATGGGAAATGTTTTGGCTTTCTGACCACTTGGGGGCACCACTACCTGCTTTTTTTTTTTTAAGGGGGGGGGGCTTGCAGGAAGCCAGGCTCTTGGAGTCCAGAAACTCTGGTTCTGCTTTAGCAGAGGCATGGAAGACCTGGGACTAACAGCTCAGGCACTGGGACCTTTGCACAGCTCCCTCCCCCGCAGCCTGCTTCCTTTATCATAAAACAGGGTTAACCTGGGCCTAATGAGAGAATGGAGAGTACCTGGTATGTGTTGTTGTTATTACTCATTTCCCGATGCTCAAACCTGGCAGATCTCAAGAAGATGAGAGCAGTGCTTCTTGGCCTGCTGGTCCTGGGAGGGCCCTGTCCCCCTCTGGCTTCCCTCTCCTCCCATTTGCTTGGAGTCAGTTAACTTTCTTTGAACCTATTGTCTGCGTGTCTGTACAGAGCACGGGTGACTCAGAGTGCACAGATGTGGTTACCATGGTCCCTGTCCTCGAGGATTCACAGTAGCGATGGACAGAGTGTATGTCTCCCCTGGGTACCACAGGACCACGCAGTGGAAGGGCGATCAACCATAGGGGCTTTAAATGCTATGCTACATTGAGACTTAGAATATTATACATGTTCACACTGCACATTTCACAGGGTACCAAGGGGTACAGGATGAAAAGGAAACTTGTTCCTGCCCTCCCTTCCCTGGAAGCCATTTGGTCTTTTTTCTTAGTGTATATTAATTTTGCAGAACAATGGGTTTCACCATGGCGTTATCATACATGTGTGCCAGGCATGCTGATCATATCTACCCCACTGCTTTTTCTTGTCCTCCTCTGGTCCTCTTTCTAAGTAGTCTCTCTTCTAGCTTTCATGTATTTTTTTTTTAAAAAAACAACTCTAGATTTCATGTGAAAGATGAAACATGCTATTTTTGGCTTTCTGAGACTCTATCCTATCTTTTAACCCATTTATCCATCTCCCTGGGTCCCATACATCTGACCAGTCTCTCACACATGTCCAGCTACATGCTCTGGATAGCTCTGCGTATGCTCTGTGTATATTTTCCTTCAAGTACCACACACTGTCTGTCTAATATATTATATATATTCTTCTGCATATTCCCACTCTTTTCATTTCATACACTTTTTTTTTTTGAGACCGGGCCTCATTGTGCCCAGACTGGCTTCAAAATCACTATGTAGCTGTGAATGACAGAACTTTTGGTCTTCGTGCCTCCGCCTCCCAAGTGCTGGAGATTTACAGGTGTGTGCCACCATGCTTGTCTTGTATGAGGTAATGGGAATTGAACATGGGACACCAGATATGCTAGTCAAGCAGTCTATCAACTGAGTCATATCCTAGACCCTAATTTAGGACATCTTAATGCTTTTTTATATCAACCCTAAAGAGCCATGACACTTTTTTCCCCAGACTGAATAGCAGGTCTTCTCAGCCTTAGAAGTACTGACATCTTGCTCAGGTGAATTCTGTTTTTGGGGGCCTGCCCTGGGCCCTGTAAGATGTTGGTAGCATCCTCGCCTCTGCCTCTGGATGCCAACACCACACAGCTAACTCCATTCTCGTCCCCTGGTAGAGAATACCAAGAGCTTCCTTAGGTGCTGCCAGATGTCTGCAAGGTGATGTGGCCATTGTGGTCTGGTGAACTGTTCTAGGGTTCGGATAATGCTGAGACAGAGCTAGCCAGGCCTCTACTGATGCATGGGTTCTGACTTTTGCTATGACCACAATGGCAGCCCATGTGTGCATACCATTTTGCACATCTGTGTGCACTGGAGGTCTAACCATGTGGAGCTGCACAGGTCTAGGGGTCTGTATGCTTTACCTTTGGGCAGAGATATTGCCGGAGGAGGGATATTGTCTTTGGGAGAGGTACTCCCTCGCTTCTCCCTGGCTATGGGCCCATGTACGTTATTGTTCTCCCCAGAGAGAGACATATCCACACACTCCACAACAATGGCACAGTGACCCACGGCTCAAGGAAGCCCACACACGTTTAGATCCATGGGGGAGCCAGTGAATAATATTTGAACAAAAGACTCCCAGAACCATTTGGTGTTTAGTGAAGGCCGACAGGATGGCAGAAGAAGATGAGGAATTTGAAGGGATGGGGTGCTGGGAAGGGAACAGAAGGCAGTCCAAGAGGAAGGGAAATCTGAAAGAGGTGGAAAAGCAACACTCTCCTAGGGAAACAGCAGTGTGTGCCTGGAGAGTGTGGGTGTTAAGGGGATGAGCACAGAGACTGGGAATTTGAAAGAAGGGGTGAGGCTGGAGAGTGGGGAGGAGGGGTGAGGCTGGAGGGTGGGGAGGAGGGGTGAGGCTGGAGAGTGGGGAGGAGGGGTGAGGCTTGGGAGTGGGGAGGAGGGGTGAGGCTTGGGAGTGGGGAGGAGGGGTGAGGCTTGGGAGTGGGGAGGAGGGGTGAGGCTGGGGAGTGGGGAGATGAGCAAAGAGGGATGAGACTGGGGAGGAAGGAGTGGATGAGGATGAGTGAGTAGAGGGATAAGGATGGAAGTGTGTGGGGGGAACTGGGGGCTCCTTATGAGAACTAGGACTTCACCCTGGAGGTACTAGAAAACCACAGACCTGTCTCCCGTCCCTTTAGACCAAGGCATAATTTGCTAAAATTCCATTTTCCCGTACACCTCAGGTTGTCAGAGCACCTATCAAATACGTGTAGACCAAGTCACAGAACCCTTCCAAAGCCCTTGTGTAGTCCTCCAACCCCCAGGACAGCCAGCCACAGCACTGCTCTGTCCTCCAACTACTATTTCCAGAGCATCCTATCAACTGGGTCCATGCTTTGGGGCTGAGCTTCCTCCACTGCACCGGGCAAAATACATTTCAGATCCTTCGCTACCGCTGGGGACAGAAGATGCCCCAACAGAATTCTGTGGTTCTGAAGGACCACAGGTAGATTATCCATCTTTGGAGGGGGCGGGGGGGAGCGGCAGAAATTGAGACACTGGGATGTGAACAGCCACACAGGGGTTCAGAGTGTGGGGACGATCTAAGTGGGGCTTGGGGCTGCTGGGGGCAGGCTGGCCTGGGGTGGGGGTGCCTGGAGGCAGGCTGTGCTCTCAGTACCCCATCCCTCTCCCCACACAGGGTATGGCCATGCTGCCCCAGGCACGGACTCCGGTAAGGTCTTCTGTATGTTCTATGCACTCCTGGGCATCCCCTTGACACTGGTCACCTTCCAGAGCCTGGGCGAGCGTCTAAACGCGCTGGTGAGGTTTCTGCTGCTGGAGGCCAAGCGCTGCCTGGGTCTGCAGCGGCCGCACGTTTCCGCAGAGAACATGGTGGTAGCCGGGCTTCTGTTGTGCGCTACCACCCTGGCCCTCGGCGCCGCTGCCTTTGCGCACTTCGAGGGCTGGACCTTCTTCCACGCCTACTACTACTGCTTCATCACTCTCACCACCATTGGCTTTGGCGACTTCGTGGCGCTACAGAGAGACGAGGCGCTACAGAGGAAGCCGCCCTACGTGGCCTTCAGTTTCCTCTACATCCTTCTGGGGCTCACGGTCATCGGTGCCTTCCTCAACCTGGTGGTCCTGCGCTTTCTTGCCAGCGCCGACACTCCTGAGCGCTCAGCCCGCTGCACCAGCGCATTCCGCAGGGGGGCGCTCAAGAAACGCGCCCGCACTGCGGCCTCCACCTGTATCTCTCAGGGCATCCATCAGCTGGATACTTGGGCATGCGACAACCCGGCCTTCTCGCCTCCCTTGAGTCCAGAAGCCCTGTACCACTGCCACAATAGTACAGACAGACGCCGAGCTCGGAGAAAGTCCATCTGAAAGTCCTACCCTACCCGGGCGAGGGTTGACCAATCAATGTCTAGCCGCACCTGTTAGCAAACCCACCCTTCCTCTGGCTTGGAGGGGGTTGAGGCTCCCGTTACCATCTGCGAATCATCCCTTCTAGTAATACATGAATGTTGCACTAAAAGCAGAAGCCGACTTTACAGTCACCCTGGAGGTGTAAACTGTTTGGTCTAAACTTGTAGGAAAATGTGGCCTTCAGCCCCTAGGAGGGGTGATACCAGGTCACCCCTTCAAAGGATGACAAGCGGCTAGCTTCTGCCCTGAAGAGGAAAGGCACGATTTGAAGCACTAGAATTTGACTAGTGGGACTGGGCGCTCATGCTAGAAGTATGAGACAGAGACAGATTGAAGGCAGTTTATGGCTCACAGTGGGCAATTTCTGCACCATGTAGATGGCATTCCCTTTGCTCTGCATGAAGGGTGGAGTTATCCCAACTGTAAATGGTTGCCCCACTGTCAAGCAGAAGCCCTGTTCCTGCGTAGCCCCTTCTGGATGAAGGGGATGGTCTCCCCCTCTTCCCCTGCCTACCTGTAGGCAGCTCAGTGGTGTAGGATGCATTTCATTAGGGGTCCCACCAATCACCAGCAACATGTCATTGGGATTCACATCGCTTTCCTGAACCCCAGCTTCTCCACCAGTAAGACAGAGCCCATTTGCACACCCTGTTTCACAGGGTACCTGGGGGAGAGCTTCCTGACTTGAGTTTCTGCTCACAGAGGATGCTAGTCAGCCCATGGCGAGACACCTTGACACCCTAGAGTGTTCACCCCTTCCAACACGTGTCCCTTATCCTCCCAGACGGAATCGTCTTGATGTGAAAAAAAAAGAGCAAAACCAGTGTAGAAAAGCCAAAAACTTTCATTTCCAGCATGAGCTATGTGGTCATGAACACAATGCAATGTGACCCTCTCCAACTCAGAGACCCCCAAAACCCTCCCTCCCTGAAGGACCAGGCTATTCCTGCTCCCCAAGAGGACACAGGGAAAGGTGGGTAGATGGATGGAGGCTCCCAGTCCAAGGACTCTGGGGTCCCACCTTCCTGCCACCTTGAAGGAGGATGCAAAGGGCTCAGAGATAACACCTATGTCTGCTTCCAGCCTCCACCCAGCCCACACAGGCTCTCTTACTGAGATGAAGAACCCTCGGGCTTGCCAGGTAAGCTTGTGGGGACTCTTCCTCCACCAAGGTCCTGTTCCACAGACACAGGCCCTCTTGGGGGGCCAAGAGAGCCAACGCAAAGGACAGAAAGGGGGTCCAAGGCTCTGGGTCTGGTGTAGCGCTGTTGCTCAATAAATAAATACAGGTGACCTTGCCTGGTGCAACAGCTCTGCTTTGGGAGAGCGTGGGGGCGCGGTGCTGCTTCTGAACCTCAAAGTGCTCCAGAGTCTCCTGCCTTAAGTAGCCCACTGGCGAACTGCTTGTAAAAAGTTAACTACTTCAGCTGTGTGCTTGCACGCCTGTGCTGTGGGCCGCCGGAGAAGGAGCTGGCACTCAACCACTGTCAAAGCCGGCACTTTGGTGGCAAGTGCTTCTCAGGACCTCCACCTCTCCCTCCTGACAACATGAGCCGCCTTTCACTTGCCCTTTGAGGGTCAGAGTAAAATCACTGGGGGGACACACTGGGAAGTGCTATGGGAGGTGGTGTTATCCCTTCTGGAGGTGAGAGGGGACTTCCTGGAGCCCCCACTGTACAAACCCAGGAGGGAGCTTGTGTTTTCCACCTCTCAGCTGGACCTGGAGAGGTTATGACCCAGAACAAACAGCCACCGTGGCACCTCCTCTTCTCCCAATTCAAGCCCAGAAAAAGCACTAGCCTAGAGGAGAGAATCAAGCAAGGCAGTGCCACCTGTACTTAGAAGCTGGCAATGGGGATGGCGGCAGACCTGCCCCTGAGCGCTGGTCTCCTGGCTGTGGCTCCCAGCTCTGTCCTCCCAGGCTTAATGCTGAGGGGCCTTAACCAAATGACTTCCTGCTGGGGCCTGGGTTTCCTGACCTCTCAGGCTATAGCTAGTCACGCCATAATCTGGAGCCACTAGGAGGCTCCAAAGAAAAGGGATAGAAAGGATGAGACCCCCCCACTTCATCCTGCCCTGGCTCCAGCTCTGCAGGAAGAGGAGATGTAGGTAGAAGTGTCACTGGGAATACTAATGACCCCAGGATGGCTCTCCTCCAGCAGGGCTTTGGTATCCTTTTTTTTTTCCCTGCAAAATGCAAATGGACTAAAGATTCACAGGCCCTGCCTTTCCAAATGCAGAGGCATTCTGGAAAAGGAAAATGGAGATGGCCCTTTCCATGGCAGTCCTAAATACTGCCTCTGTCCAAGAAAACAGAAACACCCCTAGAGACCCAGCACCAGAAAGGCCCCCAACTCCGCCCTCTTACTCCTCTCCAGATGGCAGAGTTTGAGTTGACAGAGGATCAGACAGCAGTAGGGACAAGCTGAGCTCGATAATCCCCAGAGCTAACGATGAAAACCACTCCCCTTCCACTAGTCCTTGGTGAGGACAGATATGGTTCCCACACCCAGTGGTCACAGCCCCTTGAAAGTGGGGCACATGCTTACAATGATACAAAGAAATGGGGCTCCAGCCCCCACTACACCCCTCCAGGAGGTGAGTGAGATTTCACAGAACAAACAAGAAAATCACTGAGGGGCCTCACTGACCACCCCAGGGTGGTGTTATTGCTTTGGAGCCAGGGCTCCTGCGTGTTTCTCTCTCTCTCTCTCTCTCTCTCTCTCTCTCTCTCTCTCTCTCTCTTTCTCTCTGACAAATAAGAGCTGAGCCCCTCCTCTGGTTGACAGCCAGGTTCTGTCCCACCCTGAACAACCACAGCAAAGACGGCTGGGTCTGGGTAGAGAAGCCGCTCTCCTGGCTCAAAATATTCCAGACAGTGAGTAATGACCTAACTGCAGAGATATCACACTGGTTAAAAAATAAAGGTGGGGTGATGGCTAACTGTGGGCCTCAGGTGTGAGCCCCCCCAGAGCCCTTCTCCCTTGTGCTGAGGGCCTGCCCCTCTCTCCACAGACTCAAGGACACTCTGAAGACCAACCAAAGAGGGGGCCTGTGCACAGCCCTTCCTTGTGCAGTGTCTACAGCTCCACGTGGAGGTGACAGAACTGGACCAGAACCCTAAAGGGCACTCAGAGCTAAGCCAGTCTGGAAATGGAGAGAATTTCCAAGTAGAAGGAGTTCCCTGGTATAAGAACCAGGAACAACAGGGGGTTCAACAGAGCCCTGGCATCCTCAGTGGAAAATGACACCCTCTCGTGGAGTCCAGGCCCCTCTACAAGGCCCAGCGATCCTCAGGAGTGAATCCAAAGATCAATGCTGAGGGTATTTCCCCAGAATGCTGAATACAATGAACAATCAGGGCTACTACCCTGTAAGGGAAGAGAGAGGAAGACGGGGAGGAGAAGGTGGAAGGGCTGGCCTTTGGGGAGCTAGGTAACCCATCCAGCCCAGGCTAGAGAAGGAGGTCGCAATCTTCTGGAATGTACTGGGGCCCCCCTTTAACCCCAGCCTGGGGCTTGAAGAAAAGACGACATCTGAGCTAAGAATAGGGCTCAGGCATGAACACTAACTACCCAGCTAACCTGGACTACACCCTACACAGCAGGGACTAGGTGAAGAGGAGTTGGCAGGCTGCTGGGCGGCTCCCGGGACAGTGATAGAAATGTGCTTCTATAGGGGCCAGACTGTATCCTCCCTCGCATGCAAAAGGGCTCCTGCAGGCCCTAGGGAGGGCTACAGGAAAGGCAGCTACCCAGGCCTCATCGGAGCCTCTAATTCTTACACTCATAGCTCTGCATCTCTCTTCTTGTACCTCCTTGAGCCATGGCGATGAGGCTGGGGCAGTGGCTTCTGCCCATCGTACAGGATGGTTTATTTAAAAAGGCTAAAATGGGAGGGGCTCTAACGCCTCCCCAAAACCCTAGACCAGAGGCAGAGGGATAGCAAGATGGCCTTTGATCTCATCCAACAAGGAGGGGTTCTCCTGTTTGGGAAACCCTTACCTTGGTACCACTAGGCTTAATCCCAGCTTTCTTCAAAGCTCGGCTCCCACTACCCCTACACCCAAAAGAACCCTGTGTGCAAGGTTCCGGAAACTCGGGTCCCCACAGTCCTCCACCATATCACAGATGACAATGCTCCTTCCAGTCCACCAAGAGCTCCAGACTAGCTTGTTGCAATCCCATGGAGCAAGGACCCCTGGGGATCCGTGCCAGGCCTCGGGCACCTCCTCCTTTCCTTTAATCTCTGCTGGCCTCCAATTCCTAGAGCTTACAGCAGAGGGGCAGGCAGGAGGGGATGGATGGATGGACTCAGACAGGCTGCGGCAAAGCTCCTTCCACGGGCAGGCAGAGGGAGACCCACACTCCCCTTCAAGTGGGGAGCTCTGGGCCCCCCGGGAGCTGGCTCCGGATCCTTGCAAACTGCCCCGTCAGCGCTGGGGCAAGAGTAGCTGCCTGAACCCGGTGCCGCAGGAAAGACACTTGCTGGTAATTGGCACCATGGAGAGGGCCGGCTTGGATCTGGACTTGGCTCTGGGCAGCGAGCTTCCAAGGAGGCAAAGGGGGTGACAGGTGGGGTGGGCGGGGCAGGAGAGTCGCTTTGCTCCATCACCTCAGTCTTTCTCTGACTACAGCCGCAAACACCAGGTCAAAACCGGCCAAGTCAAGAGTGTAGCCAACCCACTGGGAGAGGGAAGGTCTCAGGGGTAGGAGGTGAAGGAGCGAGGAGGGGCCCAAGGGGGGCAGGTCTCCCCATTCTGCTTCCCCGCCGTGGGGAAGAACCCCATCCTCCAATGTCCAAAGTGCCCCTGGGCCTGGGGTCCCAGGTCAGGGCTGGGTGGTCTCCAGGCCATGTCGGGGAGCCCCTCCCCAACCCTGGCATTAAGATCGCTCGCCACAGGGCCCCACGGTGCTCTCAAGGGACAGCTGGGATGCCTGCCGGAGCAGAGGACCTGTGGCTGGGTCCACCATGGAGGAGGTGGGGAAGAGCTTGTACCAGCCCACGGCCAGGGTGGTCAAGTCCAGCTCCTCCAGCAGC